GGGGTTGAGTGCTTTATTGCTGTTATTGTAGGCTTTTTCTTACTTTTTAGAGGAATATGCTTCTCCTTGTACCAAATTTATTTTAGAATGTAGCACAGTTGAAGGTAGTATTCAGCAAAATTACTCTGTGAAATATTTTAGACTCAACAATACAGAGGTACTGATATGGGCTGTAGTATTCTCTTTTGTATATACACACTCACTTTTTCATAAAATTCTAATGCTTTTAATCATTAATCTGTTTCTAAATCTGCTTATTGTATATATCTCTCATATTTGAAAAATACACAGCTATGTACAGTTAACTGTGTTTGAGTTACAGTAAAAGAAAAATTAGACTATTCTTCCAGTTTTCTTAAATGGTAATGTCTGCAATTCACCAGGACCATTTTATGAATGAGGGCCAAATACTTTCACAGATTAATAATAAAACAGGTCTCTTTAATAGAGTTTTTTCGTTACTATCAGTCTTTAAAAAATGATGAAGTGTCAATCAAAAATGAAGTGCAGAAACTTCTGGAACTGGGCCAAAACCAAAGGTAAGACTCTCACCTTCTTCCTTCTCTTTCCATTTCCTGATTGAAAACTGTGTGACTAGTAAATTTCAACTTTCCTTCTACTATATAGATAAACACTGCTGTATTCCAGAGTCTGCTGTTTGTAACAGTAAAATAAAGGCAGGAAATACTCTTTTTGAAACCAATGATGTATTTTCTTATATTGGAAATATGACAGGAAAATTTATTAAAATGGAATGGTGAGATATCTGCTAAAGAAAGGCATTTTGAATTTTATAGGAAGATTTAGTCATGAAGTACTCCTTAAAAAATAAATTCAGATTTTTTAGAAAATTAAGTTACTAAAGTGTCTAAATCTCTATGTCTGAAGATGGTGACATTTATTCTAACATCTTAATTAAATGTTTATGTGCGTAGGCACTCAAAATCACTAATCCATGTGCAAACAGGAATACTAGCACTGAATATTTGTGATGAATGGAGTTAGGAGGAGAAAGTAGTATTAATTTCAAATTATTCATTGAGCACTTGAAAAATTAGCTCCCATGGCTGGGAATGCAAGTTTCCAACCTAGTCCTTAGTCTCAGTTTCCCTAGTGCTTCATTTAGAGTAAGTCTTATCATTCTGTGTTTCTCAATTCTTCAAATTCAGACCAGCAAATAGCAACATCAATACAATTTTAATAATTAGAAAACATAACTGATATAGTGACCATTTTTTTCTGGAAAAATGGTATGTAATGAGTGCATTTATACTTCATATTTTCCCTAGGAAAAATGTTTAGTAAGAAATATTAAGGTCATATTTCTTTCATTGTTAAAAATGCAGTAATTAAATTCCATGGCCGTCTTACATCTACATTCATTGTAGAAGTACACAAAAATATACATATGAAATTGCATTGCTACATAGAAACCATGTGAGAAAATGACCTTCATGTCTTAAATACCCAATATATAAGGTCCAGAATACAATACCAGTAGAATTTCTTATTTTAACTGTGATATATAACAGTCTTTCAGTTATTCCAGACAAATAAATTATAAAGGCAAGACTTTAGCTAACGTCCTATTTAAATACTTAAGTGGCTTGGATATGACTGAAGGTGTACATCTCAGCATCATAGCTGTCCTTTGCACAGATGAAATCCTTCATCATACATGAATGCAGTTTTGTGGTGATTTGATTGTTATACAACTTTCCTTTATGAAACTGAGATGTGAATTACTTTAAAGTATTAATGGACTGTTTAGTAAATAGATCTTAGTTGCAGATGGGAAAATTCAGTCTGCTAAAAGAAAATTTTAATATATATTTCAAATATTCTTCCTGTTGCGGTGTGGAGTTGTTGGTAAGGTGCTTCAACCTTCCCAGAAGCGTCTCCGGGAAAATCGCTTCTGCCAGTGCCACACACCCACACAGCCACTCACACTGCCGGACAGATGTAGTCGGAGTCAGTGACAAAGGACTGAGAGGGATCTTTGTACGGATTTCACGAGGGAAGTTTACTGCTTTCAACTCTTGAAGGGGCCAGAAACAAAAGGCACAAAACAAGGCCGTGCAAGGTAGTTTGTACTGGGGGCGGGAGCAACCAGGACCAATGAAACTAGAGCCAGGGGGTGGTATAGAGGAGGGTCCAAAGTGTCAGAACCAATCGGTATGAGGTGAGGGAGGGATTAGAGAATTTGGGCCAATGGAAACAGAGGAAGGGAGAAGGTTCTAGGAATAAGGGAAGAACTGAGGAAAGGAGGCAGGGAAGAAACTGCCCAGGGGGAGGGCAAAGGGGCTGGCCAACAGGCCTGGGGGAAGGGTAGAATGGGGTACATGTATAAGCAACAAGGAGGCATCCTAGGAGAGGCCTCAACCATCTTCTCCTTAAGGTGAGCCAGTTTAGACCATTGTGGCGTCTCTCCAGGGGGACTTACCACTCTCCTGAATAGAGGGCTCACAGACCCCCACACTTCCTAATCTCCTCCTTAAACCACCACTTGCAGTCTCTCAAGATCCAACTGAAAATACATGTTGACTTTTGCTTCTAAGGCATTCAAACATTAAGTATACAGCAGAAGGGCAGTTCTGAGAAATAAAGACTGGATCTGTGCAATATGCTGCTGAGCAGCCCACTCCATCGTTCAGAAAACGAATGGTTTTTACAGTACACTGCAAGGAAATGATTTGGGGATACTACTGTTGCCACCTGTTTACAGACTTACTAGATTTCATTTCCAGAGAGGTGTAGAAGTTCAGCATTTGAAAGAAGTATTAAAAATGTGCCAGAGAATCTTTCTTACAGACTTTCACTAAGGAAAGGTCACTGTTTATTTGCCAGGGTCCTCAGGCTATGTTTTGTCTGCAGTAAATGAAGAAAAGTGAAGACAGTATTATGCTTAAAACTAATGCATTGAAGCCAAAATTCAAAATATATCTCAATGTTACAATCTTTATTTGAACAAACATGAACTGTATTTGGCCTGAGCATGACTTTGATTATGCTCTACAATTCTGGATGATACAGTAAAGTTTAGAGTACTAGAATCTCAGCTTTTGTGAGTAAATGTTCTATTACTAAAAAAATAGATTTTTAAAAATTCCTTTTGTACAAAATCTCCAATAATTTCCAAGTTGCAGGTAAAACTTGGTCACTTGCTATGATGCCCCCAGTTTTATTCTTTCTGTGTATCATCAGCGCTTTGAAATGATGGCATCTGTTAGTGCTGATGGTATATTGTTTTCATGCTGCTCAATCACTTTTCAATTAAATCTGTTCTGTACTAGTGTTGCTGAAATTGCTGAAAGTAGTAGGGCTTATCAGCTAAAAAGAAAGATGATCCTGCGGGTATCAAGTTCTTTTAAAATTAAGTGGTTTCCATTCAGTTTAGGTTTCAAAGGGCTAAATTATTATCTGTTACTGTGTGTAAATCCAGTTTTGGCTTGATCTTCATTGAGAGTTCATCCATGCAAGCACAAACCAAAAGCTTTACAGCTGTTATGAAATATGTCATTTTACTACTTTTCTACAACTTCAAAGTGTGTCATATGCTGTGAGTAAAAAATTCTTGCAGTTTGGAGAAAATCTCCGACTGAATCAGTAATGCAAAAGGTTTTCACTTGATTCAAAAAAAGCCCAATCCAAGAAATTATCCTGTTCTTTTTTCTTTTTATGCCAGAATCTTCTAGTGAATTTTTTGTTACTTGTCTCTAGAAAGTGCCATATGAAGTTAATGGTTTTTTAGGGCATGATTTATTTGTTTATTTTAAAGCAGATAGAAACTAGTTCTTATTGAAAAACTATGTTTTATTTTTATTCTTATTGAAGAACTCCATGCCAGTGAATTTTAACTTGCCCACTTTCCTCACTTTCTTGGTGCCAATAATTTTTGTTAGAAATTATGCGCTAGCAGATGTTTTGCACAGTGGGCCATTCAGTAGATATAAACACTGGCCACTTTGCATCATAGATAATTTTTGTTTTGCTTTGGAACTATACTTCATGGAGTCATTATGATTTTATTTGTGAGACTCATAGACAAAGTACATCTGTTTGCTACTCTGAATAATTAAAGGTCCATTTTCTGGATCTGAAGAATTATTTTCTAATGGAGACTTGTGTTGAAGTTTGTGTTCTGTGTTTTCAATACACTAGGGAAATGAAATCTCTCCAGGAAGCCTTCCAAATGCAGCTTAATGAGGCAGCTGAGAAAGCAGAGAAGCAGCAGGCTACTGTGAGTGATTCTCTTTCTTTCTTTCTTTTGTTTTTCTTCTGTTGTTTCTTACTCTTGCCTTAAGAATTTATTAGCTAAAAAAACTTTGCCAAAAAAAAGAATGGACTTCACATATATGTTAGTACTCTGCTAACAAGAGTTAAGCTTCAGAAGAAAGGAGATGGAAAAAGATTTAATTTTCTAAAATATTAAGATTCCTGTGTTCCCTTATTGCTGTGGAGTTTAGGTATGTTTATACACTTCTGGACACTTAAGACAGGAAATTGAGGCCTAAGTGCTCTCCCTGGTGAGATGATCTTTATGGACCTACTGGCGATGAAGAGAGACAGGGACAACTGACTTGGTGACCAGAACCCGATTTTACTGTGGGCTACGTATGCTTATACACCATTCTAGGAAGGCTACAATGATTCAGTTAAGGATATACAAACATGCATACATATTTCAACATTGATTCAATCTTTTTGCAGTCTTCAAAACTCTGTTCCTGCCAAGGCATCCTGGCTATCAGATCTCTTATGCTAATCAGGTCCAAGGTACTTTTTGATTTCACCATATGTCTCCCTTTCTTTTTCTACCAAAAATATTACCTTAATGGCTTTTTTAATTAATCTATAGATACACTGAAATAAACAAGGTATCAGAATTAATACAATTATTATCAAAATCATCACATGCATACCTATTCTAAAGAAATCTTTTAGCCAGGGTATTAAACCTCAGGCACTAAACAGGTTATCTAGCTAAGATTCAGATTCTATTCTTATTTTAAACACACTATTTTTTATTTGCTATATGCCTTTATGGATAGATTTTGAGTTAATAAACAGGTTGGAAATGGATTTTCTGGGAATGCAGTAGCTAAGCATAGGATATCTTGTTTTGTGACATTAGCCAGTGCTATCCTATTCGTTCTGGGCTGGACAACAGTCCAAGCTGTGCAATGTTAATAAGCATAAGCATAGCATTTGATTTAATTCCATGCTTTTTTATTAACTGTGTTGTGGCAAAAACTTTTTGGATTTTAGTTTCTAAGCATATCTTTTAGCACATTCCCTTTTTATCTTTTCCCAAGCTTGTTCAAAGACTGGCCAAATAGAAGGCAACAAGTTGTTTTGTTTGCACTCCACTTTGCAAATATAGCTATTTTCAGATTCTCTCAACACTTCTCTCCTGAGAATAGGGAGGCGAGGGCTATCCTCTTCCTCGTGGCCTACTACAATTAAAAATTCAATGGCTTTATACCTTACTTGTAACTCCACATCATAACATGATTGACATGATTTTGCCAAAAGGGCTCTGAGATACCACTGACTTCCACACTTTTTGCACTGACATTAAACCCAAGGTTCACAGTTTCCTTTGCAGGTGGGACAAAAGATGTGAGTTGTGAGCTCCTCCTCCTCCTTCTCCTTAGTCCATGAGCCATGGTCTTTATTTCCCCCACTGAATCAGAGTCAATAACTCCTGGCAACACAAATAATCCTGTTGCCAAGGTGGAAGATCGACCTACAAGCAAAGCATGGTGCTAATCAGGTTTCAAGGGTCCAGAAATTCCTGTACGGAGACAAAATACTGAGCAGTCAGTTAATGTTACTGTGTTACTGGTTGATGTGTCCTATCTGGCACTGCTCCAGTGGCAATGGGGTAGCTCCACGTAGGTCACAGATGGTCCTGTGGCAGGGGGCTGAGCCAGTTGGAAGCTGACCACTGCTCCTGGTTGCTGCATCTTCTGCTGCGTTGGCTGTGTGATTTGTGTCTGCACATCACTGTCCCACATTCTGAGATGAGTATCCCTGTAAAGGCTGGCCATTCTGGTGGAACTTGGAGCGACATAGATTAGCCTTAATTTCTGAGTGGCCTGAGGGCTCCCATTGTGGTTTTCCCCTCCTTGGGCCAAGTCGCATGTGGGTCACGAAGATTTCTGCCACGGTATCTAAGTCTCTGTCCTTAAGGGCTTTCTTTTTCATCTATAACCAATTATTATGCCTATGTGAAGGGAATAAGTCTGGGTCTTTTTTGGGGCCGGGGTCGAAAGGATCCAGTTTCCCCTTCACTGTCAGAGTCAGTCTCCACTGCATAAGTGTCCCATCCTGTCTGGCAGTTCTGGGATTGTTGATGGTATAGCAGTGAGGCTGGAGGGGGTGACCAGCCTCTATCCCTGGTGCTCATCAGGGAGGGCATGCAGACGGGGGATGGGGAGTGGGACCTGGGCAGGTTTCGGTCCAGCACGGTTGCCAGGACTGTCTCAGAGGTAGCCTTGCAAGCAGCCTCACTGCCCCCCTCCCTTTCAAGCATGTCCATGACTGCCGTATAAGCAGGGAGCATTCACATCTCTGGATCATGTCCAGGGAGGGTGCCCAGGTTGTAAAGCTTAATGCTGACCTTGTCCCAGAAGCAGAGGGTAAAAGCAGAAGGAGGAGTGGCATCAGGAAACATGCGTGACACTTATGGTAAAAGTGACTTAGTCGTGCTTTAGGATGGGGGACCCATGTTTGCACAGAAGATCAAGCATAGTTTGATTAACATCTCTCTCTTTGGACACATTCCATCCCATCGTTTCGTTCCTCAGCTCACTATTTGCATTGCAGCTGATCAGGTGATTGTGGACCCAGACACAGTTCTCTCACCATTACAATCAGTTCTGGGGGCGTGCTGACTGTACCAGCTAGGCCAGTCCTTTTCCTCACATGGTGAGAAAGTATTGGCAATGAAGAGAGACAGGGACAACTGACTCGGTGATCAGAATCTGAATTTACCGTGGTCTACATATGCTTATATACTATTCTAGGAAGGTGACAATGGTTGAGTTAAACATCATACAAACATACAAACATACATGCATATTTCAACATTGATTCAATCTTCTTCCTGTCCCAGGCTTGATCCAATCTTCTTGAAATCTTCAAAGCTCTGTTTTTCCCGCCAAGGCATCCTGGCTATCAGATCTCTTATGCTAATCAAGTCCAAGGTACTTTGTGATTTCACCATATGGACCCTCATGTCTCATCTATACTAATATACACTGTCATACATCCATTGACATTTTTTTGAATTACTGTGGATTTTCAGCAGCAAAATAGTGTCTGATTTTGACTGCAATAGAACTAATTATCACTACAGAAGGTATCATTAAGTCCCATTAAGATTTTCTGGTTTATTGAAATTCTGTTTCTGGACAAATTGCACAATTGTTTCGACTTTCATGTAGTAATGTAATGTTTTGGAGCATAAATAGACACATTTTGCTACTATAGGGAAAAAGAAAAGTAGAGGCATGTTTAATAAGATGGAAGAAGGAAATTTCTCCTGTGTTGGTTAGTAATATTCCTATATTCCTAATGGACATAACTGAGCATAAGTTGACTGAATAATCTCCAGAGGTACCTTCAAACCTTAAGTGTTCTATGATTTGAACTCTGGACTTGAAAACAACCTGCTAGAAGTGTTTATAGATCTATTTTATATTTCATACTGGATAACTACTGATTTATTTACTAAGATTTTGCTGTCTTCCAGGGTCACAAAGCAAGGGTTTGTTCAAGACAGAGGTTTAAATGTAATTATTGAATTAAATAAATATATACAATGCCTTATTTTGTATGACTACGATTTGTATGTGGTTTTACGTCCTTGGTGAATAAAATGTGAGAGTGTATGTTTTGCTACCTTCTAATTAGAAACAGCATAGACTGTAGACCAAACTATTCCTTTTGCAAGTTTCTATCAGTTAATCTGATTTTTGAAAAGATATTTTTTCCCTTTGTTGCTCAGAAGTCTGAAGAGTAAAGATACTTTTTGTTCTAGTGTACCACACAACATATAATCAGTATATTTTTGGTACTTGTATTTTTGTCTAGAGAAAAGAAAGAACTTTTATCCTCTTCAGGTGCAAAAAGAAGTAATCTGAAAGCTATATTGAGTTTGAAAAGGATAAAATATTTTGATGCTCTTTCCAGCCCGGACAGCATATGTCCAGAAAAAAACTGAAACAAACTGCAGTTGTTTTAAGATCCTTTTGTGCTGAAACAATCTATAAAATTGTCTATATTGAATCCTAGAGTCATAAAATGTTAAGGGTTTGGAATGGACCTTAAAGATCATCTAATCCCAACCTCCCCTGCTCTCAGCAAGGACACCTCCCACTAGATCAGGCTGCTCAAGGCCTCATTGAACCTGTCTTTGAACACTGTCAGAGTTGGGTATCCACAACCTCCCCACGAAACCTGTTCCAGTGCCTCACCTCCTTCAAAGTGGAGGATCTCTTCTTAATATCTAAATTTCCCCTCTTTCAATTTATACCCATTAGTCCTTGTCCTGTCACTACAGTTCCTGATGAAGGGTCTCTCTCTGGCTTCCCCATAGGTCCCTTTACATACTGGAAGGTTGCTCTGAGGTCTCCTTGCAACCTTCTCTTATCCAGACTGAACAGCTACAACTCTTTCAGCTTGTCTTCATAGGGGATGTGCTCCAGTCCTCCTATCAGCTTTGTTGTCCTCCTCTGAACTTGATCTGACAGTTCCATGTCATTCTTAAGCTGCCAACTCCAGAACTGTACACACTACTCCAGATGGGGTTTCACAAGAGCAGAGTAGGGGGGAGAATCACCTCCTTCAATACAGTTCTGAAATACGAAAAAATGAGTATCTAGTTGTCTCTGATAATACTCAGAACATACTAGTTGAAAGCTGACATTTTTTCAGGTGCATTGAATGCATTCCTATTGACTTTATTAGCACAATGAATTCTAATCCTACAAATGGAAGGTGGAAAACATATTTCATTATTGAATGTCTTGATTAGATTTTGATACTCAAGACTAATTCAGATGTGGATTTCATAAATCTCAGAGGTAGTGAATGGATTTGTTCGTGTTTGTTATATAGTACTTTTTTTACTTTTTTTTTTTTGAGCAACAGTGGCCTTGTGTACATTCATTACCACACTAGTACTTTGAAGAGCATAAGATTTGTTCACACAAAACAACATCTGCTATTAACCATGAAAAATATCACCTGGTGTAGAAACCAGGAAAAGCTCCTCTGAGTGTATAACAAAACCTGTCTTGAGGAGGTGGCAGATGGTTAAAGAATCTGAATTCTTGAGCTGTATTCTAATACTTGCCACTAATAGCGTATTAAACTTGCAAATAATTCTAAGAAAATCAGAACTGTGTCCTTGGTTTGTGACATTTACTTCTTTATGCCTCAGAGTACAATGTACATAGTGAAGCTCAACAATACAGTGAGACTGAATGAATATTCAAAAACTGCCTCAGGTTCCTTAGATGAAAATTGCTAGAAATGGAAATAGATATTATTATTAACACACAAGGTTATTTTATACTGGGTTTCTCTGTGTGTTCCACATTTTTCTGAAAACAATGTGAAATCTGTGAAAGAAGGTCTTAGTACTTTAATGCAAGACTAGCGAGATAATGGGAGCTTGAATTTAATTCTAATTTAATTAATTGTGAAACTTGTTTCTAATCCAATTTAAGCACATTTTATATTATAGGACTTGTTGAAGTAGGTCTTGATTTTCATCAGAGTAAATGAAAGTAGAATTACATTTACTTACATTAGAGACTACATTACATTACATACATTACATTAGAGACTAATAAAACACTGGTGAGAGGGGGAAGGGTGGAAATACATATTTCTTTTCTGCACTTGCCAAAGAGCCATAGTACAGTATTTACTGTATGTATGTTAATTGGCTGTATAAATTCAACAGGTAACACCTGCCAGCAGGTGTTCTTTATTAAGTCACTGTAAAAGTGTAAATAAGGATTCACATGAATTAAGTCAAATTAAATGAAAAATACCTGGGAAATTACTTAAGGGCTCTGACCAAAACAAACAAAGGAGACAGAACAGCTATACATTAGATATAATGTATATATAAAATGTATAATTATATATATATAATGAAGCAAGACCTTTCACTAGCATTGCATAAGTGATTAACCAGAAAGAGAGATATCAATATTACTATGTTTGTATATCCATTTTTTGAACCTTTAAGACTAGAGAAACCAAGAACTGTAGGCAGCAAAAAAGTTGCTGTTCTGAGCAGCTGCTGAAGTGTTGGTGGGTACCACCTCTAGTAGGTAGATAGCAGCCAGTGGAGCTCCTGTTAGGTAGTAACAACCTTCTGAGGGTGCAAGCAGCAGCTCAGGCTTGAGAAAGGTGAAAGGATATGTAAAGACAATCCTGTCCTTTTGAGTAGTAATCACACTGAGGGCTGACCTGGGGGATCTTAACACGAGTAAGCACTGCCTTTCTGGATTGTGTCCTGCATCTGTTGCACTAACAAAGAGTAGCAGCAGTCTGTCTTGGGACAGGTCTTTCCTAGAAAATTTATGGCAGATCTCAGATACATTTATGCTTATTGTTTCAGCCGTTTTGGCTGGGATAATGAAATGTGCAGAGAAACACTAGTTATGATAAGGATGGATTAAATTTTGGACTAGTCCTACATTCAAGGTCGAATCCATTCTTCCAGAAAAACTTTGGTTGTGAAGGAGCTTCTCTACAAATCGTCTCACACTAGAACTATAGATTATATCAGAAGGACCATACTGGGTTTAGTTATACAATATGCGTTCAAAATATGTAAGACATCATTCCAGATAATCTAACAGCCTCTTTAACAATGATCAAAGGTTGACAAATTTTTTGTTCTGCATTTAGCATCAAATGCCTAAGCAATATGTATTAAGTTCTTATGCAGTGAAAAAAATATTAATAATGTCAAGCTATTATATCTAAATGTGAAGTGGAGCCACTTCTTCCAGAAATGGAGTTGGAGATCATGGACTAATTTTCACTTTTGTTAACAAAAAGACACAGAGCAAATGGCACATATAACTTGAAAGAGTCTTGTTTTGTTTGTTTGGGGTTTTTCAGCTGGAAATTCCTCTGAGCAGCTGAAAAAACAAAATAACCACAACAAATAGCTGTATTGTATTTCTCCCCATTAATTTTGATCTGATATTTGGATTATGACATTTATTTTTTGTTATGCACAATTTTCATATTTATTGTCTACATGTGTTCTAAATTTCAGTGTTTGTGGATGTCATTGCTATGCGAGTACTGAATAAAGCATCATTCTCAGACAGAAGGGTGATATGGAATCAGTATTTCCACAATCAAAGCACTTAGACAAACCCTTGGAAGAGTTTGTAAAATATGTTCTATTCATGTATATCAGGTGGCACTAGTTTCATGGACCATCTACCTATATTTCTGTCTTAAGGGATGATAGCATTCTCTGACTTCTCTTTTGAAACACATAACAGTGCTGTCAGCTCAGTGATGTTTTTTAAAATTATTGGCATGTCTACTTGAGTGTGACATGATTCTAAGAATAGCTGTCATATCATGTAGATTTGGTGTCATTTTTTTTATCTACATGACATCTAAACAAGTAACCTTTGGGTCAATGTCTCTATAATCTGAATCTGTTTTCTTACAGGAATTTTGTTTTTCTTAACAAATCTGTTGCAATGTTAGAACAATTGTAATTTCCCTTGAACTTGGGTAGATGTGCTGGTTTTGCATTAACTGACATTTGGTGAGAAGGGAAGAAGCCACCCATGGAAATGATTTTTCTGGGAAGGGCTGCTAAGAGCTTCCTCTGTGCCTAGCAAAAAACAACAGCTGGCTAGCTCTGAGAATTGACAACCTATTGAACCATTTAGAAGCTGGGTCTGCCTCTGTGAGATTCACATTTTAAAGATGGCCAAGCCCAGGAAAGCTCTCTTGTCTTCCAGCTTTTGAAGAGGTAACTTCAGAAGTTACCTGGGTGACCTGCGTGGCTAGGCCAGGCCAGCCCCATGTGGCCCGGCCAAGATTTTCTGCCCCCTGAGGGGTGGTAAGTGGGCTGCCAAGCCCCTCACTGGGGAGTCCATAGGGCCCTGTCCCAGCAGGTGGCTGGGGCCCCTTCCCACAACGTCTGGGC